CATCTGCCTTTTCTTCTGTTTTACCTCCTGGGAGAAAGAATTTGGGACCTTTCAATGCTGTTGAGTTTCAACCTTCTGAAATTTGTCCCCAAAATTTCATCATCTTTGACCACACAGACGATCGAAGCCAGATCATGTTCCATCCTGCAATTTGCAACAAACTTGGTGGTCCTACTGCAAATATGTCCTCGAAGTACATCCAGAAAAACTCTTGCATTGATGAGAATTATGAGGATAGAGAAATACCATCTCCTTCGATGGAGGATGTGGATGATATTGATGCATTATTGAGCTTAGAAGACGAAGATCACAAAGACGTTGATGGATCTGAAGATGATGAGATTAGCTCTGCAAGGTCTCATTTGAATTATGGAAATAGATCCCCTGATTCTTCATCCTCCTCTTATAGTTCCAAACCCAGGAAGAATCAGTCAGTTAATCCTGTCCACACGGCATCAAGCAGTGGAAGCAGCTGTGATGGTGACATGAAACAGTTGAAATTGAAGAAAATGGTGAAAAAACTGAGAGAGATTCTCCCTGGTGGTTACCAAATGACAACTGCCATGGTTCTGGACGAAGCTGTTAAATACCTGAAATCTCTCAAAGACGAAGTGCAGGAGCTCGGCCTCGGGAGCTTGGAGAACTAAGGTTTATAAGTTTACCCTTCTGGCGGCATCGACTGAAGAACTCTAAGGATTCTCATATCTTGTGTATCTCCCCCGCCACCTTGTCAAAAGTTTGACAGTCACGAAAGATCATGTGATTCTTCGGAATGTTTCGAATTTCAAATGCCTGCAGCAGATGTGACTGTCGAACCAGAATCTCTAGTCAGGCTTCTTGACTATGTCGTTACCTGTTCTAATCATTTTCAACTTTGGTGTCTAGAAGAAATTCTGGGATTGATCTGCCTTTTCTATTGACATTTGTTGTATCTGTAGAATGCTACCTTTGATTTAATACTGCCATTTACTTTTAAAAATCAATCTGTTCCAGCATAATTTTCACTTGTGGACATAAGGGTTCATTTAGTTCTCGAGTTGAGATTGTATGATCTCTTAATTCAGTTTTCGAGTTTTATAGTTGAATTCAATCAGGAGAGTGTTCAAATTCGTTTCTTCTAAACAATTTCTGATTTATTAACATTATTCACTGAAGATAATGTGGTTGAGCTCCTAGAACCACTTCTTAACATCCCTACACAAAGACTCACCTACCCTACACCCCACAGATAACCCTACAAAATCCATAAACAATACCCACAAAGGACTAATTCCCATGGAAGCTAAGCTGCACAGGGAAAGAAACATCTCCATCTCCCACCACAATGGTGTGCCCACCGGCCGGCAGCAGATTGTAGCCACTGAAATCAATTAGCCCCAAGCTCTTACAAGCATTCAACTTAAATTTCACCGATTCATTGCCCCCAGCATCCACAAACACCCTCTGGAACCCAACCACCTGCTTGATATGAGTCGAAGAAATTCCGCTCGGTGGTTTCGAGTACACGATCACAACCTGGCTACCGTCCTTTGTACCGGTGTTCTCGACTTTGATTTCAAACTCGAACTCGTCGGAGCAAGTTAGGTCGTCGACGAGGACGGCGGCGCAGTCGGGCTTGAAGGCAGTGTCCTCATAGGCAATGTCGCGGCATTGGATTGTTTTGTCGAGATTGACGGCGAGGGATCGGTTGGCGGAGACTAGAGTATGGGTGAAAGAGGTGTAGCTGAGGCCGTAGCCGAAGGGGTAGACGACAGGGCCGTCGTAGAATTTGTAGGTTCTTCCTGGATAGCCGAGGCTCTTCACTGGCCGGAGCGGCATCGATGTCATTGGTAGCTGGTTGACGTAGTCGGCTTCATACCATGTCACCGGTAATCTTCCTCCTAAAACCAGACAACAAAATCAGTTTCACTTGTCAAGCAAGTTAGAACCACAACAAGTTTTTTGATTCTGACCTGGGTTGGATTTTCCAAAGATAACATCGGCGATGGCGCGGCCGCCCTCTTCGCCGGGATAACCAGCCCAGACAATAGCTTTGATGTTGGGATTATTCTTAGCGAAAGAGATGTCGATGCCACCCGCCGACATGATGACAAGAACAACAGGGCCCTTAGAGACAGCTGCAACTTGTTGGATGAGCTGAGTTTGGAAACCAGGAAGAAGAAGATCAACTCTGTCCAAGCTCTCAGCTTCAATGGACAAGTCAATACCCCCAAGAATCACAGTTGCATCAGAGTTCTTGGCCGCATCCATGGCTTCAAATATGAAGGTATCATTTTTGCAAGCAACATTCTCGCAACCCATTTGGTAGTTCACTTTTGCGTACTCTGATAGTCCATCAATCGGAGATTTCACTCGGCATGGCACTCCTGCAACACAAAACAGAACTTGAGAAGAACAGAGGCATTGCCCAGATTGAAAAGATGGGAGTTTTGGGCAAGAATTTGACCTGCATAATTGCCAAGCATGACAGAGGTGGCATTGGCATGGGGTCCAACAACAGCCAAGGTTTTGATAGTAGAAGTATCGAGAGGCAAAGTGTGATTATCATTCTCGAGAAGAACAGTTCCTTGTCTGGCAGATTCAGTGGCCAATTCAATGTGTTCATCATTGCAAATATCTCTGCTTCCAAGTGATTGGAACTTGGGGCTTCCATCGAAGAATCCAAGTCTCATTAGAACAACGTAGAGATAGTTTAGAGACTTGTCAATGTTCTTCACTCCAACTTTCCCTTGCCTTACCGAGTCTTCTGTGAAATTTGGGTAAAATTGACCACAATCCAAATCCAACCCTGAAAATTTACATATGAAAGAATCGAAATTGATTCATGGGTTTTGTAGAACAACACAAAAAAACATTACCCAAAAGAAGAAATTGAAAAAAGAGTAAATAAATTTGCCTGCTTTCAGAGTTTGAGCAACAGCATCTTCATTTGTATCTTGCAGAAAATGTTGATGATCAACCATAACCTCAATTGAGTCGCAGTCTGAAACAATGTATCTGAAGAAAAAAAGAAAAATAATGAATATATATTTATATGGTTTGATTTATCCTTTTTTATTTTATTTTATTTATACCCATGAAGGCCCCAATCGCCTCTTATGGTGTCCTTCAAGAGAGCCGGATCAGCACAAGTTGGAAGGCCATGAACTTTGTTGTAAGAACACATAACACTGCTGACATCTCCTTCCTTAACACACATCTCAAATGGCTTAAGGAATGTCTCCAACATGTCTTGTTCGGTCACCTAATCCACGACGTTAATAAACATAAAGGCATTAAGGAGAAACCTTGAGAGTGTAGCGTCAAAAGTGTCGACATCAACGTTAACAAACCTTAGCATCAAAAGTGTAGCGTTCGACCCCGAGCCAATTGTCGACATCATAGGCAGCATAGTGCTTGCAGCAAGAAGAAACCTTGAGAGGCCTAAAGTTCAAATCAGCGGCATTTTCAGTTCCTTCCACGTCTTGGAGACCTCTAACATAGTTCACTGCATATTTGCCAACCACAAAAGGGTCCTCGCCGGGTGTTTCCAGGGTTCGTCCCCATCTTGGATCTCGAACTACATTGACATTTGGACTCCAATATGTCAATCCAGCCCTCCCAAGATTGTACATAGCTCTAGCTTCCGTTGAAACCACCTAATAAAAAATAACATCATGTCCAATTATCTAGCTAAGTTATTAGTAGCAATGTATGTAACTTTCTCTATAGGTCGAAAGTTGTCAGACTTACTTGACCGATCGCTTTCCACATAGCTTCACTGAATGATGCTGCCATGGAAATGACATTGGGGAAACTAGTGGCGCCTGGCACAACATCATCAAATCGAGTACCAGGGCCAACATCGGAGACACCATGAAGAGCCTCTGACCACCAATTGTACGGTGGCAAACCGAGGCGAGCAACTCCAAGGGCACGGTGGCCAAGTTGAGCAACTTTCTCAGATAATGTCATTCTATCTACTAGATCCTTAGTCCTCTCAAGAAAAGAGAGGGATGAATTACAAAAGCGAAATGAAGAAATATCTAACCCAAGATTGACATATCGAGATGGATCACAGACAAAAGTGAAGTTGCTCACAGAGGAAGAATCCTCAAGGAGGAGTGTTCCTCTCGGGAAACGTCTAGCAGTAGTAGACAGAACAAAGAACACAAAAATGGAAACAATAAGGATCGATGATTGAGCCATTGTAGTTTTGAGTTTTGAGTACCTTAAGAAATCCTAACTATGGTACTCTATATATAGTGAGAATTTGAGATGGTTTGAATTGAGAATTTGTTACATTTTAGTTGAGATTTGATTTTTTCAAAGTTCTAAATTTTTGTTTTGGTCTGAACTTAGGAATTTCTAATTCAAACCAGAAATTTTATGTTATAACATTTGGCGCAAAAAAAAAAAAAAAAAACTTTATATTATTATAGTTATTATTATTTATTTATTATTATTATTATTATTATTATTTGTACAATTTTGTCCTATAAATAAAACAATTTTTTTAAAAAGTAATTAATTGAAAATTAACTAAATAATTTAAATATGATAAATTTAAATTAAAAACTAAAGTAACAAACATAAAAGTTTTTAAAATTAAAATATAATTTAAATTTATGTTGATATTACTAGAAATAAATTATTCATTATTCTTTTTATTCCCAAATTTTAGCTTGATTTCTTAGAAGTTAGGTAAGAAGTGAGTGAAAGTAGTATGAATCAACTTAATTAAAAAATAATAATAAATCAAAGCTACTAAACTGACCTAAATATTAATTAAGCAACGCTCAATTTTTTGGCCAATTTAGCTCTTACTAACTTAAAATAATTAGAGCTTTATATAAAGATTACATTATTAATAAATAAATAAAACATGGGCCGATTAGGCCGATGTGGCCCAATAAAATCAAAAGAAAGCCCAATTTACTAAATTGGGCTTATCATGGCCCAATAAGAATAAGAAGCAAGAAACAATGAACCAATACCAACCTTCCGTCATGGGCTTCATTGGGTCATCTGTATACGGTAAAATCGAAGGTGGGAAGAGAAATGGCGGGACCGATAAAACTGTCGCAGTTAACCCGGAGCCGAAGAAGCATTGGCCGGAACAGTTTTCTTAGCGAAGTTCCTTTCATATCGCAACCACATACGTCTGCACCGCTGCTCGTCTTTGAAATCAATATCTCAGAGCGCTCATTTTTAGGGCTTAGTTGAGTTTATCTGCGTGAGCTTGCTCCTACTCTAAACCTAACCGGCGATTTCATCTTGGCCGAACGAATCTCCACTCGTTTTGGCAGAGTCTGCGTCGGAGACATTGTCCTTGTGAGGTCCCCTGAGAACCATCGAAAAGTAATGGCGAAGCGCTTGATGGGCATGGAAGGTGATTCTGTTACCTATGTTGTAGACCCGAAGAATAATGATTGGTGTGAAGCTGTTGTGGTATGGCTGATTAGAATTCTTCTTACTTGCTTCATTTTTTCTGGAGTTTCGTAAATTCGTGTTGTTTAATTGTTGACCCTGTGTTCAATTAGGTTCCTAAGGGACATGTTTGGATAGAGGGAGATAACATGTATGATTCAAAGGATTCAAGTTATTTTGGGGCCGTCCCATATGGTGTTCTGCAAGGGAAAGTATTCTGGAGGGTAAGTGAGATGAATGTTCTAATTCCTTTCCATCAAGAAAAATGGTTGTTGATCCAATGCTAGTATGCTTGTTCATAACAAAAATCCATTACTAGTATGCAGGGATTATGTGGTTCCGTGTTCTATTTGCATTCAGAGTACAAATAGATACTGATAATGAAGTTGAAAATGTATAATGTAGTAAAATCTCATAGATGATGCCTTGAAGAATGGTCCTAAAGTAATGAATTTTAGTTTTCATTATGGTAAAACAGCTCCCTGAATTGGTCAGTGTAACAGCCTAAGCCCACCGCTATTACATATAGCCGTCAGCTTTACGATTTTAAAACACGTTTGTTAGGGAAAGGTTTCTACACCCTTATAAGGAATGTTCGTTCCCCTCTCCAACTGACGTGGGATCTCACGATCACAAGTAGATCAGATATTAGCACAATTTAGGAAACTGCGTGGAAAGTAGTTTTCTGCTTTTCAACACAGATTTTAGAAACTCTTATCAGAAGGGTGTTGTGAAAGTTGAAATTTATGCACTTAGAATACCATTTGCAAGATAATAACTTTGGGAAATACTATCTGTTGTCTAGTAAATCCATGAAGACAAACTATAAGGCATAAGCGAAAACTAGTCCTCAAAGGGGCAAAAGACGCTTATTTGATATGACTTGCATGATAGATCTCTAAGAGATAGCTATAACTCATACAAATAGCTACACTGTAAGCTAGTCCTCATAGATGCAGCCTTATGTTTCAGTGATATTTGTCAATCTTTTATGCATTGTTCGCTTTAGATTTTTCGATTTATAATCATTATAATTGCTTTCATCGTCTTAAAATAGCTTCTGATATCTCTTTTGTGCGTAGTTGTGGCCACCTAAAAGTTTTGGACCGTTGGAGAAGAGGAAATCGAATGAGACAGTCTTGGGAGGTAAGCTCAATTGCTCTCCAACCTCAGATTCTTTGTCATTTAAGAATTATTTATTTATTTATTTTCATGACATTTTCATTTCATGCTTCTTGTTGTTTAGGCTAATATTTGGACAGCCAGTTTAGATTCTTGTTGATTAGAAATTATTCTAATTTTTTGCATTCTGGACAGAGAATTCAAGAACTAGCATTCTTTTTCGTTTATGACTTTTACTTTGAAAACTAAGAAATCAAGAACCCGGAAAGTCCCCCATGAAACTTCTGAATAAATTTCTTCTTTTAATGGAAACAAATCACACGATTCTTTCCCCTTTGTTGTTGAAAGTCTGAAGTCTTCTCTTCTCTTCCTTTTTCTTACCTTTGTTTTGCTCTCGTGTTAGATAAGAGCACTTGAAGGACATTTCATGCCATCTATTTGGTAAACGTTTGTTTCTTCTGTTTCCTTCAGAATCTATCCTGTCGTTGTCGTTCATCCATGTTGCCTTACGTCTCTTTACATTAGTGATCTATGAAGATGTATTTTAAAATCCATCTATTACCCACTTTATTCATTCCGAATAAGTTTTTCTGGGCGATGAATTAATTTCCCTATCCAAACATGGAATTTAAAATTATGTATACGATAATGAAATAATAAAATTATAAATAAATAAATTGAAGGATGGGGGATGGGACAAATCTTATTAAAGAAGGAAAATGATAAATATTAGATATGGTTTTATGGTAAATATTAATGAAAATTCTCAGGAGATATGAAGGTATTAAATAATTGTAGTAATGACTAATCCAATCATAATTCATTTGATAAAACATTAACTAATATTTTATTTAAATTAGTTTCTTCTAAACAATTTATTCAGTGCAGCAGAGAATATGGTTTAACTCTTAATAAAACCACTTCTCAACCCGACGACACAAGACCCTTAACTTACCTTAAACCCTACGGACAACCTCTACACAATCCATAAGAAATACCCATAGAGGACACATAGAACCTTAAACTCCATTGAAGCTAAGCTTCACAGGGAAAGAAACCGCTCCATCTCCCACCAAAATGGTGTGCTCACCCGCCGGCAGCAGATTGTAGCCACCGAAATCAATTAGCCCCAAGCTCTTACAAGCATTCAACTTAAATTTCACCGATTGGAAGCCCCCAGCCTTCAAAAACACCCTCTGGAACCCAACCACCTGCTTGATATGAGTTGATGAAATTCCGCTTGGTGGTTTCGAGTACACGATCACAACCTGGCTACCGTCCTTTTTGCCGACATTCTCGACTTTGATTTCAAACTCGAACTCGTCGGAGCAAGTTATGTCATCGACGAGGACGGAGGCGCAGTCAAGCTTTACGGCAGTGTCGTAGGCAATGTCTCGGCATAGGATTGCTTTGTTGATATTGACGGTCACGGATGGGATGGCGGAGACTAGAGTATGGTTGAAAGAGGTGTAGCTGAGGCCGTAGCCGAAGGGGTAGACGACAGGGCCGTCGAAGAATTTGTAGGTTCTTCCTGGATATTTGAGGCTTGTCACTGGGCGGAGCGGCATCGATGTCATTGGTAGCTGGTTGACGTAGTCGGCTTCATGCCATGTCACCGGTAATCTTCCTCCTGAGACCATACAACAAAGTCTTAGCTCTAATTTCAATTGTTAAGCAAGTTAGAACCACAATAAGTCATCATTTTGACCTGGGTTGTATTTTCCAAAGATTACATCGGCGATGGCGCGGCCGCCCTCTTCGCCGGGATAACCAGCCCAGACAATGGCTCTGATGTTGGAAATATTTTTAGCGAAAGAGATGTCGATGCCACCGGCCGACATGATGACAAGAACAACAGGGCCCTTAGAGGCAGCTGCAACTTGTTCGATGAGCTGAGTTTGGAGACCAGGAAGAAGAAGATCAACTCTGTCCACGTCCTCAGCTTCAATGGACAAATCAAGACCCACAACAATCACTGTTGCATCCGAGTTCTTGGCCGCATCTACTGCTCCAGGTATGAACGTATCTATTTTGCAAGCAGCATTCTCACAACCCATTTGGTAGTTCACTTTTGCATATTCTGATAGCCCATCAATTGGAGATTTCATTCGGCATGGCACTCCTGCAACACAAAACAGAACTTGAGAAGAACAGAGGCATTACCCAGATTGAAAAGATGGGAGTTTTGGGCAAGAATTTGACCTGCATAGTTGCCAAGCATGACAGAGGTGGCATTGGCATGGGGTCCAACAACAGCCAGGGTTTTGATAATAGCAGGATCAAGAGGCAAAGCGTCATTATCGTTCTTGAGAAGAACAATTCCTTGTCTGGCAGCTTCAGTGGCCAATTCAATGTGTTCATCATTGCAAATATCTTTGCTTCCAAGCGATTGGAACTTAGGGCTTCCATCGAAGAATCCAAGTCTCATTAGAACAACGTAGAGATAGTTTAGAGCTTTGTCAATGTTTTTCACTCTAACTTTCCCTTGCCTTACTGAGCTTTCTGCGTATTTCGGGGAAAGTACACCACAATCCAGATCCAACCCTGAAAATTTACGTAAGAAAGAATCGAAATTGATTCATGGGTTTTGTAGAACAACACAGAAAAACATTACCCTGAAGAAGAAATTGAAAAAAGAGTAAATAAATTTGCCTGCTTTCAGAGTTTGAGCAACAGCATCTTCATTTGTATCATTTAGGAAATTTTGATATTTAACCATAACCTCAACTGAGTCACAGTCTGCAACAATGTATCTGAAGAAGAAACAAGTATAATCAATATGAAATATATCTTTATATGGTTTAATTGATCCTTTTTTATTATATTATATTTTATTTTAATTTAATTTAATTTATACCCATGAAGGTCCCAATCGCCTCTAATGGTGTCCTTCAAGAGAACTGGATCAGCACAAGTTGGATAGCCATTAACTCTGTTGTAAGAACACATCACACTGCTGACATCACCTTCCTTAACGCACATCTCAAATGGCTTAAGGAATGTCTCCAACATGTCTTGTTCAGTCACCTAATCCACAACGTTAGTAGTAAAAAAAAAATAAAGCGTTAATGATGTCTTTTATTTCCATTGATAATTTATATGAACATTGTTCTTACCCTAGCATCATAAGTGAAGCGATGGACACCTTTCCAATTGTCGACATCATAAGCAGCAAAGTGCTTGCAACAAGAAGAAACCTTGAGAGGCCTAGAGTTCAAATCGGTGGCATTTTCAGTTCCTTCCACATCTTGGAGACCTCTAACATAGTTCGCTGCATATTTGCCAACCACAAAAGGGTCCTCGCCAGGTGTTTCCAAGGTTCGTCCCCATCTTGGATCTCGAACTACATTGATGGTTGGACTCCAATATGTCAATCCAGCCCTCCCTAGATTGTACATTGCTCTTCCTTCAGTCGAAACCACCTAATAAAAACAACACACAGCATGTCCAATTTTCAAACTAAGTTGTTAGTAGTAACGCAACCTCCTCTATAGGTCGAAAGTTGTCAACTTACTTGACCGACTGTTTTCCACATAGCTTCATTGAAAGATGCTGCCATGTTGATGACATTGGGGAAGCTAGTGGCGCCTGGCACAACATTGTCAAATCGAGTACCAGGGCCAACATTGGAGATGCCATGAAGAGCCTCCGACCACCAATTGTACGGTGGTAAATTGAGGCGGCCTACTCCAGGGGCATCATGGCCAAGTTGAGCAACTTTCTCAGATAATGTCATTCTATCTACTAGATCCTTTGTTCTTTCGGAAAAAGAGAGAGATGTATTACAAAAGCGAAATGAAGAAATATCTAATTTCATATTGGTAAATCGAGTCGGATCACAAACAAAAGTGAAGTTGCTAGCCGACGGGCCATCTAATGTTCTTCCAGGTAAATGTCTAGAATTGGTTGCGAGAATAAAGAACCCGACAAAAACGGAGACAATAAAAGTTGATGATTGAGCCATTTTGATTTTGAATTGTACTCAGAGTGAGTATAAATTCTAACTATGCTACTTTATTTATAGGGGGTGTTTCATTACTTGTCAGCTGTAAATGAGAATTTCAATATTTTTTTATTAGTCATAAACAAAATATTAATTTCGAATCATTATCCAAATAAAATTAATCATAAACAAAATATTAATTTTAAATATTATCTAAATAAAATTAGTCATAAACAAAATACTAATTTCAAATATTATCTAAATAGAAATATTAATTTCAAATCATTATCCAGATAAAATATCATTTTGAGTTAAAACCTTTTGTTTTGGTTTAAACTTAACAAAATTTCTAATTCAAGCCACAAATTCTATCGTATTTTATCGAGAAACTTCATATTCTTCTAATTATTTTCCTTTTTTGTGTGTGCAATTTAAATGATTGAAAGTTATATCCATAATTGAAAATAATTGGATAATTCGTTGAGTGATACAGAAATAAAACATTTTTTTTAATAGTAATTGATAAAAATGAATTAAATAATTAAAAGAATTGAACACTTTTTTTAAAATTTCAGGATTAAAATATAAGTAAAATTTAACCTTATATATTATAATTATATAATTTTTGCTTATAAGGATGTTTTATTTATTTATTTTTTTAATGTCAACTAAATGTTAAATAGAAATTATCAAATAATTTTATTTTAATTAATATTATTTTTTAAGAAAGAAAACATACTAAAATTGAAAGAAATTTATAAATAAATAAATTTAGTTGTACAGAGATTGAAATAGAAGGTAGAAATTAAGAAAAAAGACTAAATAGAAAGTATAAATTAAGGTAGCGATGGAAATAGAAGTAGAAATTAAGAACACATCATCAACACATCATCAACACTGATACACAGACAAAACATGCTAATTCACTCACCATAATTTGATATTTTATTTTTTAAATAAATTATTTGAGTTAAGCCTCTATTATAATTTTAAATAAAAAAAAAAACTTAGTTTAGTAAAAATTTATGGTAATTTATTGCTAGTTTGAATTAGTCTATAATAAAATATGAATATTATCTGTGAATATTAAATATTGAATATTTGATGTCAATTCTATTTTTTATTCTGAATTGATTAATAATATTTTCATATTTATTTAGAGCGGTATCACATGTCACATTCATTCACTTTAAATTCGGGTTTTATAAATGAATATGATTGGGTTGATTTCATGCAGTCAAATTCGTTTCTTCTAAACAATTTCTGATTTATTAACATTATTCACCGAAGATAATGTGGTTAAGCTCCTAGAACCACTTCTTAACATCCCTACACAAAGACTCACCTACCCTACACCCCACAGATAACCCTACAAAATCCATAAACAATACCCACAAAGGACTAATTCCCATGGAAGCTAAGCTGCACAGGGAAAGAAACATCTCCATCTCCCACCACAATGGTGTGCCCACCGGCCGGCAGCAGATTGTAGCCACTGAAATCAATTAGCCCCAAGCTCTTACAAGCATTCAACTTAAATTTCACCGATTCATTGCCCCCAGCATCCACAAACACCCTCTGGAACCCAACCACCTGCTTGATATGAGTCGAAGAAATTCCGCTCGGTGGTTTCGAGTACACGATCACAACCTGGCTACCGTCCTTTGTACCGGTGTTCTCGACTTTGATTTCAAACTCGAACTCGTCGGAGCAAGTTAGGTCGTCGACGAGGACGGCGGCGCAGTCGGGCTTGAAGGCAGTGTCCTCATAGGCAATGTCGCGGCATTGGATTGTTTTGTCGAGATTGACGGCGAGGGATCGGTTGGCGGAGACTAGAGTATGGGTGAAAGAGGTGTAGCTGAGGCCGTAGCCGAAGGGGTAGACGACAGGGCCGTCGTAGAATTTGTAGGTTCTTCCTGGATAGCCGAGGCTCTTCACTGGCCGGAGCGGCATCGATGTCATTGGTAGCTGGTTGACGTAGTCGGCTTCATACCATGTCACCGGTAATCTTCCTCCTAAAACCAGACAACAAAATCAGTTTCACTTGTCAAGCAAGTTAGAACCACAACAAGTTTTTTGATTCTGACCTGGGTTGGATTTTCCAAAGATAACATCGGCGATGGCGCGGCCGCCCTCTTCGCCGGGATAACCAGCCCAGACAATAGCTTTGATGTTGGGATTATTCTTAGCGAAAGAGATGTCGATGCCACCCGCCGACATGATGACAAGAACAACAGGGCCCTTAGAGACAGCTGCAACTTGTTGGATGAGCTGAGTTTGGAAACCAGGAAGAAGAAGATCAACTCTGTCCAAGCTCTCAGCTTCAATGGACAAGTCAATACCCCCAAGAATCACAGTTGCATCAGAGTTCTTGGCCGCATCCATGGCTTCAAATATGAAGGTATCATTTTTGCAAGCAACATTCTCACAACCCATTTGGTAGTTCACTTTTGCGTACTCTGATAGTCCATCAATCGGAGATTTCACTCGGCATGGCACTCCTGCAACACAAGACAGAACTTGAGAAGAACAGAGGCATTGCCCAGATTGAAAAGATGGGAGTTTTGGGCAAGAATTTGACCTGCATAATTGCCAAGCATGACAGAGGTGGCATTGGCATGGGGTCCAACAACAGCCAAGGTTTTGATAGTAGAAGTATCGAGAGGCAAAGTGTGATTATCATTCTCGAGAAGAACAGTTCCTTGTCTGGCAGATTCAGTGGCCAATTCAATGTGTTCATCATTGCAAATATCTCTGCTTCCAAGTGATTGGAACTTGGGGCTTCCATCGAAGAATCCAAGTCTCATTAGAACAACGTAGAGATAGTTTAGAGACTTGTCAATGTTCTTCACTCCAACTTTCCCTTGCCTTACCGAGTCTTCTGTGAAATTTGGGTAAAATTGACCACAATCCAAATCCAACCCTGAAAATTTACATATGAAAGAATCGAAATTGATTCATGGGTTTTGTAGAACAACACAAAAAAACATTACCCAAAAGAAGAAATTGAAAAAAGAGTAAATAAATTTGCCTGCTTTCAGAGTTTGAGCAACAGCATCTTCATTTGTATCTTGCAGAAAATGTTGATGATCAACCATAACCTCAATTGAGTCGCAGTCTGAAACAATGTATCTGAAGAAAAAAAGAAAAATAATGAATATATATTTATATGGTTTGATTTATCCTTTTTTATTTTATTTTATTTATACCCATGAAGGCCCCAATCGCCTCTTATGGTGTCCTTCAAGAGAGCCGGATCAGCACAAGTTGGAAGGCCATGAACTTTGTTGTAAGAACACATAACACTGCTGACATCTCCTTCCTTAACACACATCTCAAATGGCTTAAGGAATGTCTCCAACATGTCTTGTTCGGTCACCTAATCCACGACGTTAATAAACATAAAGGCATTAAGGAGAAACCTTGAGAGTGTAGCGTCAAAAGTGTCGACATCAACGTTAACAAACCTTAGCATCAAAAGTGTAGCGTTCGACCCCGAGCCAATTGTCGACATCATAGGCAGCATAGTGCTTGCAGCAAGAAGAAACCTTGAGAGGCCTAAAGTTCAAATCAGTGGCATTTTCAGTTCCTTCCACGTCTTGGAGACCTCTAACATAGTTCACTGCATATTTGCCAACCACAAAAGGGTCCTCGCCGGGTGTTTCCAGGGTTCGTCCCCATCTTGGATCTCGAACTACATTGACATTTGGACTCCAATATGTCAATCCAGCCCTCCCAAGATTGTACATAGCTCTAGCTTCCGTTGAAACCACCTAATAAAAAATAACATCATGTCCAATTATCTAGCTAAGTTATTAGTAGCAATGTATGTAACTTTCTCTATAGGTCGAAAGTTGTCAGACTTACTTGACCGATCGCTTTCCACATAGCTTCACTGAATGATGCTGCCATGGAAATGACATTGGGGAAACTAGTGGCGCCTGGCACAACATCATCAAATCGAGTACCAGGGCCAACATCGGAGACACCATGAAGAGCCTCTGACCACCAATTGTACGGCGGCAAACCGAGGCGAGAAACTCCAAGGGCACGGTGGCCAAGTTGAGCAACTTTCTCAGATAATGTCATTCTATCTACTAGATCCTTAGTCCTCTCAAGAAAAGAGAGGGATGAATTACAAAAGCGAAATGAAGAAATATCTAACCCAAGATTGACATATCGAGATGGTTCACAGACAAAAGTGAAGTTGCTCACAGAGGAAGAATCCTCAAGGAGGAGTGTTCCTCTCGGGAAACGTCTAGCAGTAGTAGACAGAACAAAGAACACAAAAATGGAAACAATAAGGATCGATGATTGAGCCATTGTAGTTTTGAGTTTTGAGTACCTTAACAAATCCTAACTATGGTACTCTATATATAGTGAGAATTTGAAATTGCTCCTTGCGTTGGAATTGAGAATTTGTTACAAGATTTGATTATTTCTTTATTAATTATGATCTCAACCAACAAAAAAAAAAAAAAAAATCTTAATTTTTCAAAACAGAAACTAATTTTTAGTTCTAAATTTTTGTTTTGGTCTGAACTTATCAATTTCTAACTCCAACCATAAATTTTATGTTATATAACATTTAGAGCAAAAAAAAAATTATATTATTACAGTTATTTCATTTTGTGTACTATTTGACCTAGAAATAAAACAATTTTTTTAAAAAAAAAAAAGTAATTAATTGAAAATTAACTAAATAATTTAATTATGATAAATTTAAATTAAAACTAAAGTTACAAATATGATTTTTTTAAAAAAATTAAAATATAATTTAAATTTATGTTGATACTACTAGAAATAAATTATTCATTAAATTTTCGTTGGTTTTTTAGAAGTTGATTTATAAAATAAAAAAATTAAAAAATCAAAGCTATTAAACTGACCTTAATATTAATTAAGCTACGCTCATCTTTTGCCAATTTAGCTTCTCTCTAAACTTAAAAGGATCTTTAGATAGAGGTGTATATTTAGGAATAATATTAAAGATAAATATGGGCCGATTATGCCGATGTGGCCCAATAAGATCAAAAGAGAGCCCATATTACTCAATTGGGCTTATCATGGCCCAATAAGAATAAGAGGCAATCAACAATGAACCAATAGCAATTATAATTCATTAGATAAAACATTAATTAATATTTTATTTAAATTCAACAATAGAAATTGAAAATACTGCAATCTGGTTTAACTCTTAAAACCACTTCTTACCCCTACGACACAAGACCCTTAACTTACCTTAAACCCTACGGACAACCTCTACAATATTCATAAGCAATACCCACAGAGGACACAGAGAACCTTAAACCCCATTGAAGCTAAGCTTCACAGGGAAAGAAACCGCGCCATCTCCCACCAAAATGGTGTGCTCACCCGCCGGCAGCAGATTGTAGCCACCGAAATCAATTAGCCCCAAGCTCTTACAAGCATTCAACTTAAATTTCACCGATTCCAAGCCCCCAGCCTTCAGAAACACCCTCTGGAATCCAACCACCTGCTTGTTATGAGTTGATGAAATTCCGCTTGGTGGTTTCGAGTACACAATCACAACCTGGCTACCGTCCTTTTTACCGACATTCTCGACTTTGATGTCGAACTCCAACTAGTCGGAACAAGTTATGTCGTCGACGAGGACGGAGGCGCAGTCAAGCTTTACATCAGTGTCGTAGGCAATGTCTCGGCACTGGATTGCTTTGTTGATATTGACGGTCACCGATGGGATGGCGGAGACAAGAGTATGGTTGAAAGAGGTATAGCTGAGGCCGTAGCCGAAAGGGTAGACGACAGGACCGTCGAAGAATTTGTAGGTTCTTCCTGGAAATTTGAGGCTTGTCACTGGGCGGAGCGGCATCGATGTCATTGGTAGCTGGTTGACGTAGTAGGCTTCATGCCATGTCACTGGTAATCTTCCCAACCATATATTTATATTTAGTAATAAATTATAGTTTACCATATATATTATATTTGATATTTTATTATAAGACAAATATCTAATATTTGCATTATTATCATATGTATCTTTTCATTTATTGTTACTTTCATTTATTACTATTTTCATATCCTTGTAATTTATTTGATTATAAATAAGATAACTTTCACATCATTTAAGTGAATTGGATTAATCAAACATTCACATGGTATGAGAGCCCTCTCGGTTTAACAACCCCGATTCTTTCTTTCCAATGGCTTTTGAATCCTCTAATCTTCTTCTCCACCACCCCTGCTGGTTTTGACGTCGCAGGGGTAGTCTTCATGGCTGCCGTAGTCGGAGCCGATTGATTACTCTTCCGCTCCACCCTATTGATCTCCAAATCACATTTCTTCATACTCTGTACATACAACCTCACCTTTTCCAACCCAATCGATTTTCCCCTTGGCTAATATAGTTTCTCTCATTTTCTTCTCAATCAACCTTCATCCTTCACATAAACCCTAACTTAAACCTATCAATCTTTTGCAGAGATTTACCTTCGGAATCTGGGTGCCGCACTGGCCTATTCGTCAACCAAGTTGCCGCCGCCCTTCCTGCCAAAATTGGCTTTTTCGCCCGATGAGGCGACTCTTCCGACTGCCCTTCTCGCCAAAATTGGCTCCTTCGCCCAATGTGGCGACTCTTCCGACTGCCCTTCTCGCCAAAATTGGCTCCTTCGCCCAATGTGGCGACTCTTCCGGCTTCAACATGTTTAGAGCTTTGTCAATGTTTTTCACTCTTACTTTCCCTTGCCTTACTGAGCTTTCTGCGTGTTTCGAGGAAAGTACACCACAATCCAGATCCAACCCTGAAAATTTACGTAAGAAAGAATCGAAATTGATTCATGGGTTTTGTAGAACAACACAAAAAAACATTACCCTGAAGAAGAAATTGAAAAAATAGTAAATAAATTTACCTTCTTTCAGAGTTTGGGCAACAGCATCTTCATTTGTATCATTTAGGAAATTTTGATATTTAACCATAACCTCAACTGAGTCACAGTCTGCAACAATGTATCTGAAGAAGAAACAAGTATAATCAATATGAAATATATCTTTATATGGTTTAATTGATCCTTTTTTGTTATATTTTATTTTATTTTAATTTAATTTAATTTATACCCATGAAGGTCCCAATCGCCTCTAATGGTGTCCTTCAAGAGAACTGGATCAGCACAAGTTGGATAGCCATTAACTCTGTTGTAAGAACACATCACACTGCTGACATCACCTTCCTTAACGCACATCTCAAATGGCTTAAGGAATGTCTCCAACATGTCTTGTTCAGTCACCTAATCCACAACGTTAGTAGTAAAAAAAAAAATAAAGCGTTAATGATGTCTTTTATTTCCATTCATAATTTATATGAACATTGTTCTTACCCTAGCATCATAAGTGAAGCGATGGACACCTTTCCAATTGTCGACATCATACGCAGCAAAGTGCTTGCAACAAGAAGAAACCTTGAGAGGCCTAGAGTTCAAATCGGTGGCATTTTCAGTTCCTTCCACATCTTGGAGACCTCTAACATAGTTCGCTGCATATTTGCCAACCACAAAAGGGTCCTCGCCAGGTGTTTCCAAGGTTCGTCCCCATCTTGGATCTCGAACTACATTGATGGTTGGACTCCAATATGTCAATTCAGCCCTCCCTAGATTGTACATTGCTCTTCCTTCGGTTGAAACCACCTAATAAAAACAACACACAACATGTCCAATTTTCAAACTAAGTTGTTAGTAGTAACGTAACCTCCTCTATAGGTCGAAAGTTGTCAACTTACTTGACCGACTGTTTTCCACATAGCTTCATTGAAAGATGCTGCCATGTTAATATACAAGCGTTAGAATTAAAGATATAAAAAGTAGGAACATTTTTTTAAAAATAATAAATAAGGAAATTAAGACTTCAGAAAATGTGATATATTTATAACAACGATAATAACTAATTTGGGTTGATTATGACAGATGGCCCAATAAGATTAAACTAAAAAATAAAAAGAAATGAAAAAGCCCATTTGAATTGTCTGGCCCAAAACAAAAGAAGCAAGTAAGAACGTATCTATAGTCCAATCGTGAAATCGAAGGTAGTAAGAGAAATGGGTGGACTGAGAAAACTGTCGAAGTTGAAACCCATAGCCGAAGAAGCATTGGCCGGAACAGTTTTCTTAGCGAAGCTCCTCTGTGGCCTTCATGTCGCCAACACATACGTCTGCACCGCCGCTCTTGTAAGTTCAATTTTGCGTCTCTTTGAAATCAATGTCTCAGAACGCTCATTTTGAGGGTTTACTTGAGTTGATCTGCGTGTTCCTCTGTGTGTAGACCTACGGTCCCAGCATGCTCCCTACTCTGAACCTAACCGGCGATTTCATCTTTGCCGAACGGATCTCCACTCGTTTTGGCAGAGTTGGCGTCGGAGACATTGTCCTCGTGAGGTCCCCTGAGAACCCTCGCAAAGTAATGGCGAAGCGCTTGATGGGCATGGAAGGTGATTCTGTTACCTATGTTGTAGACCCGAAGAATAATGATTGGTGTGAAACTGTTGTGGTATGGATGATTAGAATTCTTCTTACTTGCTTCATTTTTTCTGAAGTTTCGTAAATTGTGTGTGTTGTTTAATTGTTGACCTTGTGTTCAATTAGGTTCCCAAGGGACATGTTTGGATAGAGGGAGATAACATGTATGATTCAAAGGATTCAAGATATTTTGGGGCCGTCCCTTATGGTCTTCTGCAAGGGAAAGTATTCTGGAGGGTAAGTGAGATGAATGTTCTAATTCCTTTCCATCAAGAAAAATGGTTGTTGATCCAATACTAGTATGCTTGTCCATAACAAAAATCCATTACTAGTATGCAGGGATTATGTGGTTCTGTGTTCTATTTGCATTCAGAGTACAAATAGATCCTGATAATGAAGCTGAAAATGTCATAGATGATGCCTAAGAAGAATGGTCCTAAAGTGATGAATTTTATTTTTTCTTATGGTAAAACAGCTCCCTGAATTGGTCGGTCACTGTAACAGCCCAAGTCCACCGTTGTTACGTATCACCGTCAGTCTCATGGTTTTAAACACGTCTGTTAGGGAGAGGTCTTATAAGAAATGTTCTGTCCGTCAGCCTCACGATTTTAAAACGCTTCTATTAGGGAGAGGTTTCCACACCTTTATAAGGAATGTTTTGCTTCCTTCTCCAACCGATGTGGGATCTCACAGTCATAAGTGGATCAAATATTAGCACAATTTAGGAGACTTAAACGTGTTTGGGAGACTGCGTGGAAAGTAGTTTTCTGCTTTTCAACACAGATTTTAGAAACTCTTATCAGAAGGGTGTTGTGAAAGTTGAAATTTATGCACTTAGAATACCATTTGCAAGATAATAACTTGGGAAATACTATTTGTTGTCTAGGAAATCCATGAAGACAAAGTATAAGGCACAGGCGAAAACTAGTCCTCAAAGGGGCAAAAGACTGCCTTATTCGATATGATTTGCATGATAGATCTCTAAGAGATAGCAATAACTCATACAAATAGCTACACTCTAAGCTAGTCCTCATAGATGCAGCCTTATGTTTCAGTGATATTTCTAAATCTATTATGCATTGTTGCTTTAGATTTTTCGATTTATTATCATTATAATTGCTTTCATCGTCTTAAAATAGCTTCTGATATCTCTTTTGTGCGTAGTTGTGGCCACCTAAAAGTTTTGGACCGTTGGAGAAGAGGAAACCGAATGAGACAGTCTTGTGAGGTAAGCTCAAATGCTCTCTAGTGACACACTCTAGGAATGAGACAACTAAATAACACGATTCTTTCCCCTTAGTTGTTGGGAATCACAAGTTTTTCCTTTTCCTTCTTTGTTTTTTTGTTTGTTTTGCTCCCCTGCTATTCAGTAAACGTTTGTTCTTCTGTTTTCCTTCAGAAGCTATCTTATTGTTGTCGTTCGTCGAAGATTCGGGTGGCTCGAAATTCTTCATAATATTCCTATATGTTGTCTGGAAGTTGCTTGGAGCTCCCTTGTCGTGGATGTTCATTAGTTAATTTCTGAAGCTACCATCTCTCTAACGATTCCCAATCTCATTTTTAAGCCTGAGAACAATGATGGAATGCATTTGATGAACAGAGATTGTTGTAGTTTGTGACTTGTTCTCCATTTTGTAATAAGAGGGTGACAGTTTTTTTATTTTTTATTATTTTATTATTTTATTATTTTTTTATTATTTTTAATTTTGATACGGTAATAACAGGATAATCTTACTTTAAATATGTTTATATTTAAAATTAAAAAGTAGGAGATTTTTATCCTGAAAATTACCTGGAATAAATGAAGATAAAACTAATAAATAATAAATAATAATTAAAAAGGAACTCAATTCCTTAAAATCTGGTAGACTTTATGGTTTTTACCTCTGGTTTAAAACCGTATTTGGCCCACAGGAAACAGAATATACAATGAGAGAGATTCCTCCCACGAGAAACAACCTGTGGTATTGTTTAAAAAATTACTTTTAAAAAAAAAAAATATATATATATATATATATGTATAGAGAGAGAGAGAGAGAGATTAGGAAATTAAGGAAGAAACTACCATAGGTTGAAAGGTAATAAAAATTGCAGGATGGGGTATTTATTTTTTGTGTTTTCAAATTTTGATTTGATTTTCGAAAATATAAGGTTAAATATAGAGGTACTTGAATCAAAAATTAGATTAAAAATTTTAGTTTTAAACTAAGTTCTGATGTTGAATAAACTAAACTAATACTTAGTTATTGTTGGCTATTATTGGTTTCTATTTATTTAGACCTAAATGTTCTATATTTTATTTAGTTTAGTTCAATAAATAACTTACAAGGTGAGTTGATCAATTCAAACATCGAATTTAATCTATGGATTAAATTCTATTACATATAAAAAAATAAAAAAAAAAATCCTCTTATGTTATGAAGTGAATTGTTAAAATTATAATTTTATGAATTGATGATTTAATCTTACATGAGGAAATAGTAATACTATGAACACCCATGGGAGTAGAGTGGGAGGATGAAGAGACAACTCAGCGGCTTTAATAGCCAACGTTGTTACAACACAAACACACTCACAAACGCCCTCTTTTACTTGCTATATATTATGTCAATCAAAATCCAACAATGTAACAAAAACTAAAAACACATACCAATTCAAGAACAGCCTCTCCATCCATCCATCCATCCCTTCATCCATCTTCAACCCTTGGATTTCTGATGGCCGACGGCAGCACCAAAATTAAGCAAACAAAGGGCCGACAAAAGATCGAGATGAAGAAGATTGAAAACGAAGACGACCGCCTCATCACCTTCTCCAAGCGCCGCTCCGGCATCTACAAAAAGGCCAGCGAATTAGCCACCTTGTGCGGCGCTGAAGTCGGCGTGGTCGTGTTTTCCCCAGCTGGAAAGCCCTTTTCCTTTGCTCATCCATGCATCGAATCTGTGGCTAACAAATTCCTTGATGAAAACCCTCAGCCAAACGACAACACTCACCCGCTTGTCGAAGCTCATCGACGCCTGAGAATCAACGAGCTGAACCAGCAACACAATCAACTTCTGAGCCAGCTGGATGCAGAGAAGGAGAAAGGTAAGGCGCTTGAGAAGCTGAAGAAGGTGAGAGGCAATAACGGGCGTGGTTGGTGGGAGTCTCCAACTGAAGAACTGGCAATTGAGGAATTGCAACAAGTTGATGGATCTCTGGGAGAATTGTATCAAAATGTTTGCCATGAACTCAAAGAGCGCGGCGTTCTTGGATCTTCTTCATACTCAGCTTCAAACACTTTGGGCTTTGATCATGCCGGCCGTGAAGAAACAATTCCTTTCAATATCTTAGCAACTGGAGCTGCTGCTGCTTCTGCTGCTGGTCCTTCTTCTGCTACTTATCTTCCTGATCCTAATCCCTTTGATTATGGACAACAACCACAACCACATCTCCCTCATCACCACCACCACCATCCATGAATGCTTCCTGTTCACCTTCAACTGTGTTCTTCCTTGTCCGTTTGTTTCTCTGTCTTGTCGTGTCTTTCATGTCTAGGGTTTCGTCTAAGTTCTCTGGTCCCTCTTGTGTTTTTCTGCGTGTCTGTTGTGTGTCCTTTTTTTCTTTTTTTACTTTCAATCCAGTGAAGAAGGTGGGGATCAGATGGTCACTATGAGTCAAGGGTTTAGTGTGTTTAAGTGTTCTAAGAGGATGTGTTTATCATACAATTACTATCTCACATCCAACTAAGTCCGTGTCTAAGTCTGTGTCTGTTCTTCAGTATATTTGTAATTTACGCTTTGTCCTTCAATACACATCTTTACTATTTAAATCGTCTGGGATTTGAGCCTTCTACTACTGCATCTTGTTAGATTCAATACCCTACTTTAAATCTGTTAATTTGAAATATGTTTACAAATTCTCAACCTTTCTAAGCTTGAAGTTTTAAATTGAATCTTGAAATTAATAGATATATTATCAAACAAATGATAATTTGAACACCGCTCAACTATCAAATTAAAACATGTCTACAAATTCTCAGTTCAGAAAGTTTGAAAACTTCAACCTTCAATCCATATGTTTCTTGAAACTCATAGATATACAGAACGAGCACAGAATTAGTGAGTATTATCTAAGAAATGAGAAATATTTTGATTCGATTTTCTAGGTTTTTTTTTTTTCAATTTAGACTTCAAGTGAGAGATGCAAACCTCTTGATGAATCCCTTCAAAATATTGTTTGTTTGTTTCATTTTTTTTTTCTTGTATTTTTTAATGGATGAAGAAACTTTTTGTATTGAAGTTTGAGTAATAGATACTTTAAATTCTACTTGTTTGTTTTAGTTTTAGCAGTTTTAATTTTTTAAAAATGCTGATACATTTCTTATTAAAAAAAAAAAAAAAAAAAAAAAAAAAAAAAACTATACATTACCAAATTAAGCATTACAAATAATATTTTTGTTTAATTTTTTTTAATATCTTTAAATTTTCATAAGCTGAAAAATGAATGATTTGTAATTTAACTAAGATTTTGAAACATTTTTCAAAATTATGGTAAGATATTTACCATAGAGAACAAGAATGGTTCTTAGGAATTTCTTACTCTTTTGGGTAGCGATAATAAGTAAATTTTTTAATGCCAAAAATAAATAAATAAATCACAAATATTCTAAAAAATGAAATTACACAGAAATTTATTAGATACTATAGCCATCAATTTTATAATTTAACCTATAATTTACTTATATATATGAAGAAAAAAAAAAACCCAACACAAATTTTGTTGCTTCAAATAAATGTCTTGCCCTTGATATTAACTTCTTACAAAACCAAATTAAGGAAGCCAAATGTCCAGCAAGGCAACCTTAAATTTCTGTCTTGTTTATTTCTCCATGAACATATTATCCATCTCATTTTACCCTTTTTTATTTTCTTAAATATGAGAAATTGATTCTTTTGTTTCACTATTTACCCATTATTACTATTCACAATATAAAATAAACTTTTGTTGGTACTAAAAAAAAGGGTTTACATTTGCTGTTATGGTAAATTGTTGCACGACTTTTGTTAAAATATGAAGATATTTACTCGTGTCCGTCCTCGAAACAAATGTAAAATATGCGAATATTTATCGCCTTAGTTCATGCAGCTGTTACAAAAATTGAGATAAGGGTAAGTAAATTGAAATTTGAATTTGGTCTCTCAACAGAACCACGAAAAAAAGGGACGTTACTTGGTTAGAAGAAGACAAAGGGAATAAGAGTTATATAGCTTCAGTCAACTCTCTTTGCTGTTTTCTTTGGCAATTGAGTAAAGCCGCAACAAATCCAACAACCATTTTCAACTTCACCATCCCTTTGACCACCAATCTGAAAATCTTTTACCTTTTTTATTAATTATATTTATGTCATTTTGTTTTTACCTCACATGGTTAAAGTATATGTCATTTACTATGAACATGTTGAATTATAAATAATTAAATTAAATTATAAAAAATTTATAATTCGAGTAATTAGTTCTAAAATAAAAATCATAAAGTTTGAAATTTTGGAAACGTGTTTGTGCCATCGGACAAGGGCGGGTGTCCAAGTAGGTTTGTTCTTTACTGAAAAACAAGAAACCTTTTTAGAATATACGTCATAATAATTTATTATTTAAGACTTCATTTGTCAACTAATTTATTTATTTTTATTTTATTATTTGCATCGAAAATATTTTTATGATAATTTTATTTTTTTATTTATATTTAAATTGTAAACGGAATAATTCATATAAAACAAATTTGTCACGATTTTCGAAATTCCCCTCCCACTCCCACTTTCCTTATCGAACTCTTGTGAGAAGCCATTGCATGAATGACACGTGTACGAATTTCAATATTATTCTCCCTCGAGGTTTTCCCCGCTTCATATTTTTAGCGTGCTTTCTTTTAGCCTTACATGGGCAACAATTGGGGAGCAGCTGCCACGTACCCGTCAACTCATTATTCATGTGGGTTAAACGTTATTTATTTCACATAAATTTTACAAAAAAAAAAAAAAATCAATTTTATCAATTTAAGTTGAAATTTTTTAAGTAAGGTAGTTTGTTGTTGTTTGTTTCAATATTTTTTAAAAGCTTTATTGGGATTTTAAATTAAAAGTATGCTTTTCATTTTTCTAAAAAGAATAAAAGTAATATCCTCTTAATATTTTTTTAAAACAATATCATACATCTCAAACCGAGGTCTCGAACAGACTTAAAGTAGTAGTAATACAAATATCTCGAACAGACTTAGAATACGACATTTCTATTTTCGACTTAAAAATTGAAAAAATCTTCCTATAAATGGTTTTTAGATATTTTCAATCATGATTACATCATGTAATAATAAGTCAGCGACGTTTTAACGTAACCAAAATTAAATACGACAAAATTATAAGTCACTGTACTTATATGAAATTTAGTTAGCGGCGCTTTAATTTCTTTTTATACGTATGCAATCAATGACATGCCTTAGATTTGCATAGACGTCACGTTCCTTTCTTTTTGTAGACGATCAGATAAAAACATCTATAAAAGTTCGAAAACTATAATGGACGGTTACTTATATCATTTGATCTCTCAAATATAGGTAATGCTTGATTTTAAGATTCGATCATGGAGTAGAGAGAAGCTTAAAAGGGAAAACGACAAACTCCGCTCCAATCTTCGTACACTTGAGTTATGAGCGTTTAATTGGTCGTTCTGAACAAATGTCAGACGGTTTTTCCTTTGACAAATGGCCGAAGAATCTATAAACTAAACAAATTTAGAAGTTTAAAAAACATCCAAAACAAGAACAACAAATTTGTGTAGGAACATTCAACTATGGATAAACAAAAAGGATGAAGGGGTGTAAGCAATTAGCTTATATTTGAACACTAAGCAGCTAGAATATTTCCCAGAATATTGGAGAACCAATGAGGAAAAATGCAAAAAGATTATCGCCTACAAAAACATCAAATCAAATTTAATTAATTTAGAAAACAAGAAAATTAATCACTAATCAATTTGAAACCCTCCTTTTCCTTTCACCCATAATAAAGAAATCGTTTGGCTTTTAAGTAGTTTATTGGACGAGACTTTCATCTAGACGTAAGATAAACTGAAAAAAATGTTCAATATACTATGAATCGAAAATGGAAAATACGTTTACACTATATAAATTAGTTTAAATCTGAAAGATGTTAAAATTTGTGGATATAAATGTAATTTGAGATTCCTTAAAACTGATAGATATAAATGTAATTTGAGATTGCTCTATGGATATAAGTGTAATTTGAGATCCTTCAACATTGCAGAAGGCATGCATAGTCACATGGATCATGTTGATAGTCACGTGGATCATGTTGAGGTACCATTGTCTACAAGTGCAAAAGTATAAGTGAGAATGGTAACTTCAATTTGTTTGGTGTGATCGTCTACTTCCAAAACACCTCCATCTTCACTATGCATAATTCGAATGAAAAGAGGCCATTTTCGATGGTCGGCCCAATTGATTTGAAGCCCAATTAAGCTTAAAGCCCGAATAAACCAAAATTGGCTGAGACCAAAACATAACGGGGAAAAAAAAAAAAAAAAAAAGAAGCTAATTACGTAAAACTTATTATTCATAAGATTATTGGGTGATCAACATGATGTAATTCAATTTTAAATGGGTTAGTGAAAGATTGGAACATCTGTTGGAGCAGGGAACTAAACATGTTCTTAAAAGGATGACGCCTTTGAAGGAAAAACTTAAAGATGATAGTCTGTTGACTGTGGACATGGATTGTTACAAAGAATATCAAAATCAGATACCCGACTATGTATCAGCGGATTGTTACAAAGAATATCAAAATCAGATATCCGACTATGTATCAGCGAGGACGCTGGTTACAAAGAAAACAATTCTTCGAAATTTGAACGTAGTCCATTATTTTGTGCTGATGGGCCTGCCTTAAACTATAGCCCGTTGGGCTGAATTAGCTAAAAGAAATATTTGAATAATTACGCGGCCCATTATTTTGGGCAGATGGGCCCGCGTTAAACTTTAGCCCGTTGGACTGAATTAGCTTGGATGGGCCCGTGGGGGAGATTTCCCGCCTGAAGTAAACAATTTTCGCGCCAAATCGATACCCCTTATTGACAGTGGCCAATCGGAAGTCATTCTGTTTCTTAATTCATCGTTTTTTATTTTCTCGCTATCTATCTCCGCCGGTGCGTCGACGAAGAAGCGAAGGAGGGGAAGGTCAAGGCCAAGGAAATGGACGTGGGTGAAGAAATTAGGGCAGCTCACAAGAGAGACTTTTTGGAATTCCTTGAACAGGATGTTCGTTTTCTTTTCCTAAACCCTCACTCACCTTTTCTTCTTTTGCTCTAATGTTTCCTCACATTTTTTTGTTTGCTATACTGGTTTCGATCAGGTTGGGAAAGGAATTTACATGGACGAGATCAAATCCATGATTAATCATAAGCGACATCGCCTTATAATCAACATTTCCGATCTTCACTCTTTCAGAGATCTTGGTCCCAGGTTTTGCTGCTTTCTTTATTCGTCATTTCTTCTTTTATTCTACTTAATTTTCTAGGTTAGTTCCACTTTATAGCACATTGGAGAGTATTGATTGGTTTTAAGTAGTGAAATTGAAGTACTAGACTACTCACCGCAAGGAAATGACGTTCTTGTTTGGTAGTTCGGGGAAGAAACCACAAGGCTTATACTATGATTGTTGTAAACTGTGTGGTAATCAAAGAAAAGATTTCCCTTACTGCACTGCATTGTTTTTTTTTTTTCTTTTTCTGTAGTTGTATTGGAGTTTACATCACTATTTATGTC